TCCAGTAACTTTACTTTTATTATTCGCTGCTGTCGAATATAGCAGAAAGAGAGATTGAAAGAGATCCGTGAAGGCTAGGCCGTAAACTTCGTTTAAGTTGATTGTACTGCGACAGCTTGTGAGAGGAACTGTTAGATTTAAAAACAACTCCCGACTTCTGAGATTGTTTAACCAAATTAGAAATAGGATTGAGTTCCTAGTTTCTATTAGGTTTTACCGGCTCACGGGTGTTTATTTAATAATGTCACTTAGTACATATAAATCCGAACACCCAGTTTAAATGGTTTTATTTTAATAAAAGTTGGTGAATGTATTTATCTTACTGTAAATAACAAGTGAAAACATTTTCAGCCTTATCAGTTGGACATTTCGGTTTTTATACTGCTTTTTTTTTAATTCACTAACGCTCTAAAAATGAATATTTCAGCCGCAGTAAAGAATCAACGTTGGCGGATTTTGGTTCTTGACATCCTTTACGATCGGTTACGATGCCTAGAGTACGGAGACCTGTACGATTTCGTCAACTTAGTGAGTTTGAAAGGGGCCGTATAGTGAGACTTCGGGAAGCTGGACTTTATTTTCGGGCAATTGCAGTTAGAGTGCAAAGAAGTGTAGACACTGTGGTTAGGTGTTGTCAGGCATGGCTTCGAGAAGGCCAAACGCAAAGAGCAAGGGGCATTGGACGCCGCCGTAGAACAACAGACCGTGAAGATCGCCGCCTAAGATTATTGGCCTTAAGGGACCGTTTCTCCACTACCAGGTCCATTGCAAATGAATGGTTTGCAGAACACGGAAGACCTATTGGCATGCGAAGTGTTTACCGACGAATGAGAAGTTTTGACTTGTTTTCATACCGGCTACACTGGGTCCTCCCTTTAACTCGAGAACACCGACGTAATCGCCTTGAGTGGTGCAGACAACGGTCACTCTGGGATCAGGAATGGAACAGTATTATCTTTAGTGACGAGTCTCGATTTTGTTTAGGCATGCACGATGGTCGTGCCAGGGTTAGAAGGCGACGTGGTGAAAGGAGGAATCCACAGTTTTTTGTTGAAAGACATGTTCATCACACTGTTGGAGTTATGGTTTGGGGTGCTATAGCTTATGGTTCCAGGTCACCTTTAATCTTCATCAGAGGTAACATGAACGCGCAGCGTTATATCCACGAAGTTCTAGAACCCCCATCTTTTACCCTATCTTGACACCCTGGCAGATCCAACTTTCCAATAAGATAATGCCCGACCACATGTTGCAAGAGTCACAATAGACTTCTTTCAACATAATGATGTCACATTGTTACCATGGCCACCAAGATCTCCCGACTTATCCCCAATTGAGCACGTGTGGGATATGATGGGTAGGAGATTGCTCAGTTTGCAACGTCCTCCTCAGACTCTAGAAGCACTTCGAGAGGAGTTGGTGGTTGCCTGGAATAGGATACCACAGGAGGACATTGACCACCTGATCAGAAGCATGACTAGGCGCGTTGGAGAATGCGTAGCACATCAGGGTGCATCCACACATTATTAAAGGTCAAAGGGCTTTAAAGCAGTGCAATCATTTTGAAATTTTTATCATTTATTTATTATGCTTCATTAAGTACTTATACAAAATTTTATTAAAATAAAACCATTTAAACTGGGTGTTCGGATTTATATGTCACTTAGTATATTTATCATTTATCATTTGTGAGAATTGATTTTTTATTCATTAAAGTGCATAGTCCCGCCGCAATCTTTAACGTCGATTGTATCTATAATTTGTACAGTTTGTCACTTAAGTGTAAGATACGTAGAATGTTGTGTGGGTATTTGGTACTAAAATATCACTAATGGTCAAAGATGTGAGGCTACGTTCTACTTTATGGTATCCTAATAACGGACACAGCACTAATAATGTTTAACACCGACACTTCGCACATGGGTTCTGGCTCCAGGGTGATGAGATGAGGGGTGAATGAGTGGTTGGTGTCTTCTATTCTGTGTTAAGTGAGATCTCTGAAGATCAGAAAGTGTGTTACCGCACTTCGCACTTATTTATCTGTTATATGATTTTTGACAACAATAATGGTCAAAAAGCGAGAACTTTTCATTTAACTCCACAATATTATTTTGCTTTGTGTCAAATGTTATAATAGTTTGTGTCCGTACAAGGCGTTACTCTATGACAGGCCGTAATTACAATGGGACATCCCTGAACCTTTAAGCAGAGAAGTCAGTTTATGATATAACGTTTTTGTCTCTTGGCATCACTTCATGTCTGACTTCGTTTTCGAAGGAAAAAACTGAAAACAATCATTACGTATTGGAAAGTTGTTAAATGTGAGAGTAGAAGCATGAATACATGCGGCACTTTCGTTTTTAGCATTCTTTGTAAATATTTTATCAGATTAATTTTATTTTCCATCTCTTATATTCTAAAAATGGATTCTAAATAAAAATAGCGTGGATTCATCAAACTAAATTGATGTTATTTTTAACAATTTTTCGACATGCAAGAAAGCTATTTTTATTTGAATGAGTGGTTGGTATCTTCTATTCTGTGTTAAGTGAGATCTCTGAAGATCAGAAAGTGTGTTACCGCACTTCGCACTTATTTATCTGTTATATGATTTTTGACAACAATAATGGTCAAAAAGCGAGAACTTTACATTTAACTTCACAATATTATTTTGCTTTGTGTCAAATGTTATAATAGTTTGTGTCCGTACAAGGCGTTACTTTATGACAGGCCGTAATTACAATGGGACATCCCTGAACCTTTAAGCAGAGAAGTCAGTTTATGATATAACGTTTTTGTCTCTTGGCATCACTTCATGTCTGACTTCGTTTTCGAAGGAAAAAACTGAAAATAATCATTACGTATTGGAAAGTTGTTAAATGTGAGAGTAGAAGGATGAATACATGCGGCACTTTCGTTTTTAGCATTCTTTGTAAATATTTTATCAGATTAATTTTATTTTCCATCTCTTATATTCTAAAAATGGATTCTAAATAAAAATAGCGTGGATCCATCAAACTAAATTGATGTTATTTTTAACAATTTTTCGACATGCAAGAAAGCTATTTTTATTTGCTTCCTTGAATACTAAGTAAGGTATGAAGGATACAAAAAGACAAAAAGTTTTATCTGTATCTGCCTAAAAAAAATATAGTTTTTCTTAATTAGTAACGCACAATTTTTGTCAATATCATTCAGGAGACTGCAACCCTCCCTACCCCCCCCCCCCCTCCAGACACGCTAGTGGAATTCGAAATTATCTTCTAGTTGGTGTTAATTTAGCGACCCATTCTAGTGAATATCAATGCCAAAATTTAATAAAATCGGTACAAGGATCTCCGAGATTATAATTAAGAACATTTTTTACCTTTGCTCACCCAGTATCTTAGAAACCAGGCATTATTGGCATTTCTACTTAAAGATTCACGACTACGCCCTATTAATGAGGGGCTACCATAAGTGCCACCCTGTATACATTTCAACATTAAGTACGGTCGCTGAAGTGAAAATGTCCTTAAGTATATCTGACCTCATCTGATGCAAACCAGGAATTCGTGGAGTCAGATTAAGTCAATTCTGTTGTTTTAGAAACTGTATTTAACACGGTACGATGCAAGAGACTGCAAACATCTGTGGCAAAGACATTTAGTCTAATCATATTAGACAAAAATACCTCTGGTTTGCGAAATAATTGTAAGGTTTGGTTTTATTACTGAACGTTGTTCAAGGGGATATTCAAAACATGGACGCATAAAATGGGTACACCAATTTTTATGGGAAAACTTCTTATTCGACAACAAAGGAAGAGAAAACTTGTTTTTTGAAATACAATCGAAATTTTTGGCAGGACAGAAAAAACAATATCCAAAAGATTTTTAGGTATTTATGAGACCTACAAAATGAGCCCACACCTAAAAAAAACCCGACCAATAGCAAAAAAGTTATGGCCGAAAACCGAGGCAAACTGCAGGTCTTGGCACTTTTTGGTAATGCGACGATGTTTTCTCGCTGAAATTTGAAATTCGTAGGATTCGTACTTCTAAATAACCACAACAAAAATTGGAGTAGATTGGTCAAGTTGTTTTTAAGAACTTCTAATTGTTTATCCCAAAGTTTATCGAGACAGCGTTAGTTCAAAGCGCATTATATAGCAAAATACATTAGTGTACCTTGCCGATATGAATCGCAAACCATTCCAGAAGATAAATGTTATTTTTATGCAAAAAGGGTGGGTTACGTTTTTTCTTCTAAACAAATTCAAACATTTCGTTTTTGTGAGTAATTCGCAACAAATTATGATAGACATATCCGCTTTGTTTTTAAATGTGTATAGTAGGGTATGTTTTTCGAATATCGTAGTGCATTTGTTCAATTACTCACAAACACGAAATGTTTGAATTTGTCTAGAAGAAAAAATCGTAACCTTTGTTTTCGCATGAAAATAACATTTGTCTTTCGAAATGGTTTATGATACATATCGCCAAGGTAAACACATGTATTTTGCTATTAAATGCTATTTTAACGAACCCTATATATATTACTCAATAATCTAGTAGTGATGGCCGGGAAACAGGTGTTTAGGAATAAACAATTAGAAATTCTCAAAAACCTACTTGACCAATAAAATCCAATTTTGTTGTTATTATTGAGAAGAATAAATCTTACGGATTTGAAGAATTTCAAGTAGTTCCGTGAAATTATCGTCACATTAGCAACAAGTGCCAAAACCTGCATTTTGCCTCGTTTTTCTGTCATAATATTTTTGCTACTAGCCAAATCCTTTTACGTGTGATCTCATTTTGCAGTTCTTACTTATATGATTGGACTAATTAAAGTAATAGCTAATTTGTATAGAAAGCAGTCCGTGTGACAGTTAAGTATCAGAGAAAATATCCAATACAGTAAGTAGAAAGACAGGTACGCTACTTATCCAGTACTGTTCAATGTCTATTATGGACATCTATTTAGAATGAGAGAAACGAACAACGAAATATTTGTTTCCCACACTAAGAAATGAAAGACCTAGATTGCAGCTGCGTCGTAGTATCTTCACATAGACAACAGGCTCAACGTATCCAGGTAAATTTTTTGAAGAATCTGGAATCCAAATTTTTGATCATCCACGGTATAGTCCTGACTTCCATGCGGTTCTGTTTTTTCCGTGTGTGTAGAAAGTATGGATAGACTTGCATAACAAATTAGGCTGGAATATAGGAGACCATGGTTCATTGAATTGTAAAATAAAATGTTGCGATGGTATTTTGCTTAATTCCTTATATCAACAAAACACCTGTTTATCAAAATAGCTTACCATAGGCTTGAACTCAAAATTACAAAAAAGGCGGAGTAGCCTTCAGATGATTTTGTCTTTGTCGGCGATTCTCCGCAATGATGGGACGGACTGACGATAAGTGGACCGTAGTTTTGTTTGTAATGGATGAAAATGGGTCAAAAAACTTGAAACAGTTTGTGAGTCTGGTTTTATGTAAAAAGATTATATTACATAAATAATAACAATTGAATTATAAATCAACAAAAAACAGTATATTTATATGTTATCAATAAGTGCAGAGATGGGATAGATGGTATAAGGTATGTTGAGTCAGAACCTCAAACACGATATTCCACAAAATCTTAAATGTTTTGAACAATTTTTAAAAATTAACCGTCTTCTTCGACAAGATCTGTGGAAAAAATGACCTCCATCCGAACCATCCCAAACTCAAAATGTTTTCTAGTTTGGATACTTATCTCAGATATAAACTAATTTGGGAGATAAAAATACTACTAGACGATCTGCATGGAGAAAATATCTACTTGCAGTATCGCTCATTTGTATTTTCAAAGGAATCGGCCTTAACACAGCAACTAATAAGTTCAAACCATAGGTATTTCGATACTTTGCATAAAATATACCTTAATTATATGTATATTATGTTCAAAGATTCCTGAAAAGCCACAAAACTGGTAGCACTTACCACTGTGTACTTGCGGCATCAAGTCTTTGAAGAATTACTAGACAGCAGTATAAAACGTCTTTTGAGTCCAGTAGTCGTTTATTTGAAGGCACATACTAAGACCCTTATTAATGCCCACGTCTTGAATTTTCCAAGAACCATCAAAATGAGATTTACCTAGAAGTACAACAAACCATAAAAACTTTCTCAATGCCAAAGGAAATACTTCCGAGTAGGGCTCTCAAAGAAAAATGGAGTGGAAAGATAAAAGGATAAATGTGAAGTGTCTCCTCTCTTCATTCTTTGATCAAGAAATATTTTTGTGTCGGGTACGCAAATTGCGTAGCGCGGTAGATGGGAAGCATACTTGGTAAACACGTATTTTTACATAGCTGTAAAATTAATGAGAATCGAGCTAACCGAACCCTTCTGGATACTTGTAGTTTTTTCCTCTGATATGCACGTTTGTACTATTTACCCACCTTTCCTGTTAGAGTACTCTACTGAACACCTTTTTGCTGTAATCCTGTGTTCGACTGGGTAAACTATTTCAGTATCTTGCATTGCTTGTGCGCCAAGAAATGCCACGGCTGACCAGAGGGTATTGACTCATAACGTCAATTTAATTAGTGGCTTTGAACGAGCAGCAGAAGCAGAAACTACAACTAGTTCCGGTACACCATTTAAATCTGTTGTCGAAAAATTGACAAATCACCATGCTGCACTAATTTCGTTCTCGCAGGATTGCACTTATGATTACCATACACCATACGGGTATTGCAAGAATTACTTGAGTGCTGAAATGCACTACTGCATACCAGTGAAGAACCTTGTTAGGCAAAGCCAAATTGTTCCTCTACAAGACCTACTGCGTACTTTCCGTACTTTAGCGAGACACACGTGTGGCCAAAATGTTCTTAAAAGTCCTGAAGATGTCACCTGAAAGACAGATTAATAAAATATATTGCTGTAGCCTTAGTACTGAAGACGGTCACCGTTTTGAACGAAACGTTTACAAAAAGAAGCTCTTTTCAACACATGCGGTTTCGTTTTGCCGTTTTATCGGGGATTAAAATTTTCTATTTATTAAGAAGCGGTTGGAGTTGGCATGAAATGTATTAATATAACTTCAAAAATTTAATAATATCTCTGGTGTTTCGCTTAAAATAAGTAAGTTGGAATCTACTTCCGGTACGACTGGAAGTGCCACCATTTGAAATATATTTTAGTCAAACTCCTCACATCAGTTATACCCTAGCCCCAAGTTTTCATGATTGTCCAACGCCAGCTTTTTGAGTAATCGATCGCTGCAGTTCTACGAGGATCACCCTGAATACTTTCTCAATCTGCCACATCTCAATAGGGCTGGTTATTTTGCTACTTTCCGATTATACACTTTTCTGAAGCGAGCCTCTCGTCATCTTAACGTTTGATGCCACATTCACGACACTATAATTTAGCATATGTACATCCATCCAAGAGGAACCAATGTAACCATGAATTATGGATCTCTATAACTTTCAAAAAATCGCAAGCCAAACGCAAAACACACTTTTTTTTAATTTCGGCAGGTTCCTTGGCTCCCGAACCACTGTGGCACGGTGTAAAGTCCGGTCACTGATACGCTAGATGTCTCAGACTATTATACAGGGTGGTGTTCATTTGAAAACTTAACCCCCTTTCACCCTCAGCCCCCAGGGTTATCCTCTTAAGAATTTTAAATGAAATCGACTGATATCTTGTTTGACAGGTCGTTCAAAGTTCTTTATTTTGATGTTTGATTTTTTAAAATCGGTCGATTCGTTTTCAAGAAAATTAGAAAAATCTTTACTTACCTTAACTTCTCCAGATAGAAAACAAAAAAAACACGAAAATATCACTTTTTATTTCAAGAAGTGTTCAAAATTTTGCCCGTTATCGGCCAAACAATAATACAGGCGATGTTCAAATTTCTGTCGGACATTTTCAAAAACATGTTGTGGCATATCATTCCAGCTTCCGAGGATGCGTTGAAGAAGTTCATCCAAACTTCCAGGTTTGGGATTAAACACAATAGATTTCAAATGACCCCATAGAAAAAAGTCTAATGGAGTCAAATCAGGAGATCTAGCAGGCCATTCTATAGGCCCTCTTTGCCCTATCCATTCATCTGGAAACTCGTCTAGCCGTTGCCGAACCGTAAGAACATAGTGAAATATATTTCAGCCTCATCAAGTATAGGGTTTTTATCCTCTTTGATTTGGTTTTCAAAGGTTTCAGTGATAAGCGAATTGCTGGTATTTGCCAACATATCCAAATAAATGTCACCATTTAAGTTTCCATTAATAAACAATGGCCCAATCACTTTGTTACCTAAAATGCCTGCCCATACATTATTTTTTTGGGGGTACTGGGTATGCCCTTCTACAAAACCATGAGGATTTTCTTTGCTTCAATACCTATACTTGTTAACAAATCCATTTAGATAAGGTATGCATCCATCACTGAAGCAGATATTCTTTACATGAATGGTATTATCATTAATCGCTGCAGTCATTTGCACAAAATTCAACTCGCCTATCGAAATCATCTTCGGTTAACTCCTGCAGTATTTTCATTTTCAATGGATGAAATTTATGGAGTTAAGTAACTGTGTGTACAGAACATCATGAAATACCAGTCGCAGCAACAATTTTGCGTAAAGTATTATTATTTATTCCAAAATGACCCAAAACTTCAACTTGAGCGGCTTCATCCAAAACTCACCGATGATCATGTTTTTTATTTGCAACAGATCCAGGTTGAATAAATTTAGTAACAAAGTCCAAAGCATACCTATGCATTTTCGACAACATAAATTACAATCATTTCCAGGCTTTCGGCTAGTGTGTAAAGTAACTGACAGCAAATTGAATTCTTTCTTTCCCATAGCAACAAATAACTGAACAGGTATAGCAATAATTACAGTTTTGCCCAGGATATCTGTGTTGATGAAAAGAATGCGGAAAAAAATTCGGGTTGTTGCCACATCTAAACTTCCGAATTGTTGTTTATGTCGGCAGTTTAAATTATAAAGGAATTGTAGATTTGGCAAACCCTAACGGGCAACATTTTCAACACTTATTGTAATAAAAGGTGATTATATTCGTGTGTTGTTTTCTATCTGAACAAACTAGGATATATAAAGATTGATCTAATTTTCTTGAAAACGAATCGACTGATTTTAAAAAATCATACGTCAAAATAAAGGACTTCGGAACATATTTCAAACAAACTATTACTTGATACCCCTTGTCACTTAAAATTTGTAAGGCAATGACCCTGGGGGGCCGAGGGTGAAAGGGGTGAAGCAGTTTTTGGTTAAAAAGTTGTCCCCCTTAACAAATCTTTTAACGTATCTCGGCGTTTTCTTAAATCAGTGGTTTCCGACAAATCCGTGATGAGAAGTTTTCAAATGAATATGTTTATATTACTGTTGCAAACCGAAAACTATGCGGATAATTCGTTAGAGAAATATCCTTAATAAATAGACGCGGACTACCTTGTACACATATAGCGTTAGGTGTCGATAACATTATTTTCATAATGGATACTTTAAAAGAGACTCGTGGCAAGAATAATTTTGCGTCACAGCTGTGACATGATAATCCGAAGCGTGACTTGTTCTCCACGACTTGTCCTTAGAATGTGATCCTACTTTTGCCAGAAGCTTAGACTTTCACTACATGAATCCGAATACGATATTTTAACACCCGTTCGAGAAAACGAGGATGAAATGCATTATCCTTGAGCTATATATACCTTTTCATAGTATCCCATAGGTATTCGAGGTTTATAAGCGAATATGACGTCATTTGCATTGCTTTAAATGTGTCAATGTGTAATATTCGTTCAGCTACTTGCAAAACGCTGTACAATTTGAAGAGCAAGGAATACTGTTCCTGTTTGGCAATACGGTTCTCATTCTGGCGATCTTAATTGAATCATACTGTAGGAAGAGAGAATCCAAGACCTTGCCGTACATTATACTGGCAAGCGCTACCACCGCAGGAATATCGCAATCGATTTATCGTGAGAAGCTGTCATTAGCGCTACCGATAGCGAGATAATATAACACATCAACTAATGAAAAGTTATTTTTGTTCCCATAACATAATTTCATGAAAATAAATCTCTTCCGACATCTTTTCTAATAGAACAGACATTAACCTGATATCTTTCTTATTATTGACTGCAAACGATTTTTAATATAAAGTGGCATTTTTGTTTCAGTGGCCTGAAAATTTAAATATATCATTTATCCTAACTTATCATATGAGACTATTTGGAGTTCGCTGGTTGAGAAGGATATTGTTTGCTTTCGTAGAGGCGCCAACATGTCGCGATATTAAGGAACACAAAAAATGTCTCGCATTGCATCAAGTTACGTTGAAGTGTGAGAGTTAATGTTGCTTGATTACCCTTCATTATAGCTCCTTTTCATATAGGACAATATACGCAGCACCAATAACGTTGAGGCTAAAGCTGGCCATGGAGCAATCAGCCTGCAACCAGCTAAACAAGCGCTAGTATACAGATAATGTAGTAGCTGTTTTACACGCTGTAAACCGGTACACCACCAAAACATTTTACGGATCCATCCCTGTAAAGACTAGAAGAAAGCTATTGTTCCAGTAACAGTAGGTGGTGACTCCAAAAAGCAATTTGCTGATATAGTTTTGGTTTGCATTTTACTGTTCAAATGCAAAAATCCACTACATATTAATTCAAATATTTATATCATAACTCATACTGACTCAACCAATTTACCCTGGTACTCATTTTATTTGTAAATTTCATGAAAACATGCAATTTTATTGAATAAATGTATCACTTGAAATCTGAAATACCAAAATTAACAAAAAAGATTGAACTAGATTGGAGTCGTTACTTCAAGCTAAGAGCGCTTTCCGTGTTCATGCACTCTGACCGCTGGGCACCGAATTAGCTGTACTGGAAATGGAAAAATTTCTAAAATTGATGATGCCCATCAAGAAAAATGTACTGAAAATACGTAAAACGTATCTTGTTAAGATAGGAAAAAACCACCGGAATAAATTGGTAACGGATTATTTTTGGATATGTTAAAGCAATCCAAGCCAATGTACTACAGAAGTGAAAGCGACAGTCGTGGCACTGTCAGCTGGCAGCCCAACTAGCAAAGTAGTGGTATAAGCTTTTGGTAAAAGAACCGTTCAGCCATAAAAGCTCTCTATTTTTGTTGCCTGAACACCAAAATGCTGGCCTACTGTTGTGGGGAATGCAAATTTGCTTTCTGCAACATATTTGCTCTAAAATGAGGTGTTTAAAATATTCTTATAGCATAGTTATACAACACCTTATAGGGCAAATTTTGAACTGTTGCATAAACGTTTATACGGTAAGAAGGGTTTTGACAACATTGTCACATTTGCGAGCTATAATTTTTCGGAGACTTGTTGGCGAGAAAAAGTTTTTAAAAGATAGAAGTTGACCCAGGAGGATCAACAGACGACGCAGTTCCACATACTATGAGGAAAGAGCTGAGCGGTGGCGGAAACCGAGCAGAATCAGAAAACATGAGCTCACTGACGAAGCTGTCATCGGAGCAGAAAACGAACGAAAAACTGATGCTGATTATAGACGACCAGGCGAGGCAGATTCGAGACCTAATGGAGACCATCAAGGACCAGACAGCCAAAATTGACAGCCTGACCGCCCAGGTAACCATATTACTAAATTCAAAAGAATCCCCTAAAGAACAGACAAAGACCCTAAAAAGACCACTGAGAAACGTCACTGATAATCATCTCACATCCACAGACGAAGACGTACAGATCGACGGATTTGTGAAAGCAAAATCAAGAAGGAGGAAAGGCAACAAGGCTGATCCATCAACTCAAGACTTTCCTCCTCTTCCGAATACAGGATCAATTCCATTTCACACCTCCCCCAATTCATCAAATCGAACCACTATTAATGCTTCTACTACCAAGGCAGGGACCAC